GCTCACAGTGAAAAAAAAATGTGACAGTTAATATACGTATGTTCATGTATAACTGAAAAATTGTGCTCCACACTGGAATTTGACACAACATTGTAAAATGACTATAACTCAATAAAAAAGTTAATAAAACAAAACAGAAACAAACAAACAAAAAAGAAACCTCCATACTGTTCTCCTTTCTCCACACCCTCTCCAGCATTTATTATTTATAGACTTTTTAGCAATGGCCATTCTGACTGGTGTGGATACCTCACTGTAGTTCTGATTTGCATTTCTCTAGTAATTAGCAATATTGAGCATCTTTTCACGTGCCTGCTGGCCATCTGTATGTCCTCTTGGAGAAACATCTATTTAGGTCTTCTGCCCATTTTTTGATTGAGTTTTTTTTTTTTTGATATTGAGCTGCATGAGCCATTTGTATACTTTGGAAATTAATCCCTTGTCAGTCGCATCATTTGCAAATAATTTCTCCCAGTCCATAGGTTGACTTTTTGTTTTGTTTATGGTTTCCTTCACTGTGCAAAAGCTTTTTAAGTTTAATTAGGTCCCATTTGTTTATTTTTGTTTTTATTTCCATCACTCCAGGAGACAGATCCAAAAAAATATTGCTGTGATTTTTATGTCAGATTCTGCCTATGTTTTCCTCTTGAAGTTTTATAGTATCGTCTTACATTTAGGTCTTTAATCTATTCTAAGTTTATTTTTGTATACAATGTTAGAGAGTGTTCTAATACTATTCTTTTATATGTAGCTGTCCAGTTTTCCCAGCACCACTGATTGAAAAGACTGTCTTTTTTCCATTTTATATTTTTGCCTCCTTTGTCGTAGACTTAGTAACTGTAAGTGCACGGGTTTATTTCTGGGCTTTCTATCCTGTTCCATTGATCCACGTGTCTGTTTTTGTGCCAGTGCCATACTGTTTTGATTATTGTAGCTTTGCAGTATAATCTGAAGTCCAGTTCTGTTTTTCTTTCTCGAGATTGTTTTGGCTATTCATGGTCTTTTATGTTTCCATACAAATTTATAATTTTTTTTGTTCTAGCCCTGTGAGAAATGGCATTGGTAATCTGATAAGGATTGCACTGAATCTGTAGATTGCCTTGGGTAGTACGGTCATCTTAACAATACTGATTCTTTCAATCCAAGAACACAGTGTATCTTTCCATATGTTTGTGTTGACTTCAATTTCTTTAACCAGTGTCTTAACAGTTTTTGGAGGAAAAATCTTTTGCCTCCTTGGGTAGGTTTATTCCTAGGTATTTTGTTCTTTTTGATGTGATGGTAAATAGGATTGCTTCCTTTATTTCTTTTTTCTGATTGTTGCTAGTGTCTAGAAATGCAAAAGATTTCTGCGTATTAATTTTGTATCCTGCAACTTTACTGAATTCATTGATGAGCTCTAGTAGTTTTCTGGGAGTGTCTTTAGGATTTTCCTATGTATAGAATCATGTCATCTGCAAACAGTGACAGTTACTACTTCTTTTCCAATTTAGATTCCTTTTATTCCTTTTTCTTCTCTGATAGCTGTGGCTAGGACTTCCAAAACTATATTGAATAAAAGTGGCAAGAGAGGCACTCTTCTCTTGTTCCTGATTTTAGAGGAAAAGCTTTCAGATTTTCACTACTGAGTATAATGTTCGCTGTGGGTTTGTCATACATGGCCTTTATCATGTTGAGGTATGTTCTCTCTACGCCCACTTTCTGAAGAATTTTTTTTCTATCACAAATGGATGCTAAGTTTTATCAAAAGATTTTTCTGCATCTACTGAGATGATCATATGGTTTTTTACTGTTGAATTTATTACTGTGATGTATCACAATGACTGATCTGTGGATATTGAAAAATCCTGGCATCCCTGGGATAAATCCCACTTGATCATAGTGTATGATCTTTTAATGTTTTGTGCTTTCACATTTTAAGGTATCTGTTTCAGCAGCACCCCACTTCTCAGTATTAAAATCTGTATTATTCATGTTCTCCAGAGAAAAAGAACCAACAGGAGATACACACACACACACACACACACACAGGTAGAGAGAGAGAGAGGATAAGGAATTGGCTCATGTGGTAACAGAGGCCAAGCAGTCCCAAGATCAGCATGGATGGATCCTCGGCTTGCAGACACACACCTTCCTGCCATGTGCTCTATGGCCTTTCCTTGGTGCATGCGTGTTGAGGGAGAGAGAGAGCTCTCCCTCCTCATCTTCTTCTAAGGCTATCAAGCCTATTGGATTAGGACCCCACCCTTATGACAACATTAATTACCCCCTAAAAACCGTATCTCCAAATACAGTGACACTAGGGGTTAGGGCTTTAAACTGTGAATTCAGGGAGACACAATTGAGGCCATAGCAAGCTCTAAGGATTGCTTTTGAAAACTGGTTGATTTTTGCTAAAAAAATTTACTGGGACTCATGCTTTCTATTATAAAAACACACACTGGTAATTTTAAGGAACGTGTTTGTTGAGTTGAGAATATCTACAACAGTGGATCACAAACTTCAAACCGTAACAATCACCTGGGCAGCTGTTAAGTTGCAGACTTCTAGGCCTTGCCCCAGACCTGCTGAATCAATCCAAGGTGCAGGCCCCCAAAGGCCGTATCTAACCAAGTACCCCAGCTGGCTTGCAGGGAGGCGGCCCACGGGCCACACCTGAGAAACCACAACATGCAGGCCTGATAGAGTGAGTCAGCTTCTCATGATGAGAAATTCCTGGCTTGTCCACGTCAGGACTTTTCTTCCTCTGCACCCACTCACATATACCATTCAGTTGGCAATTGGTCATATTTAAATCTTGACTTTTTAAATGAATTTCTCAAGTGTTGTCTTACTGCCAAAAGGGATTATAAACTCCTTGAAAACACAGACACCCTGGTGTTGCTTCATAACTGCAGGAGACTCAAGGACCATGTGCAAAGTACGCACCAAATACATGTTATTGAATCGCTTCGCTTTATAGCTTTTAAATTCTTTTAATTATAAAAATAAAACATCTCCTTCCTGGCAGAACTGTTAGTGACCGAGTCAGCCTGGTGTGGTGCGAGTTGATAAACGTGAGCGTTGAGGAGAAGCAGGTGCTGAGGCCGCCAGGGCAGGCTCCGAGCGAGCGTGGCCTCTGGAGGCTCGGTCCCAGTGCCCCAGGCGCCCTCCCTGCTCCTGCTGCCCTGTTCTTCAGTGAGAAATTCACACGCCCCGGGGAACAGAGCAAGCTCTTCACCTACGTTCCCCTCAAGATGTAATCTGAGCACAGCTTTATGAAATTATATACCCAGGAGGGACCTTAGAGGCAGCGGCATCCGGTGAGAAGACGGGCCGGGGTCCTGGCTCGGCCCCACGCCTCCCCTCCCGCGGCCGGCGGCTCTCTTCTCTCCCAGCCCTGAAACCGCGCTTTCCGGCCACGGCTCCCGTTTTTCTCACTCTGCCTCCTGGCCTCCCTCCTTCCCACCTCCTTCTCACCAGCTCCGATTCTTCTGCTCGCTCTCCCTGCTCCTGGTAGGAGTTCGTCACATGAGTCAAAAGACAAAAAAAAAAAAAAAACTGACTAATATCCAATAATTTAAAGCACAGCTTTACTGCTTTCAATTGCATATAGTAACACTGACAGCGGAATGCTGCCACAGAAGCCGAACGAATAAAGAAAAGCAGACGGAGGGAACAACTGCGTGAGCACCCGGTGTGGGCAAGGCAGCCAAGGCTGTCCTGCACTGTGGCGCCGTGGTAACCCCAGTTGTGCCACACGACACGGTGGCTTCAGGGATGTAATGAGGGGCAGGGGCCAGTCTAGTCGGCAGGAGCGTGAACGGGAGCTGGGAGGTGGAGAGAACAAGTGTGCACTAATGCCAAGTCCAATTCAACCCATGCTGTGTCACAGTCAGGTACCTGCCAGCACTGGGGGCACAAAGATGCCTCAGTTTCCTCCCTCTAGGCCCTCAGGATTCGGGGAGTCAGGCAGAGCCCTGCCTGACAACTACCATGTGCCCCGGGGACTCCCAGCAGCTGACTGAGCAGCACCAGGCACACTCTGCTGCGAGCGGCGTGCCAGACTTCACGGGGAGGTGGCAGAAGGTCCGGGGGGGGGGCAGGTAGTGCTGACTGGGGATGGAGGCCACAATGGTCACCAGGTGGTGACACTGGGCTAGCACACACGGTACCAACAAAAAGCACACAGTTCCTTCTCTCTGGAGGCTCTAGGAGAGTTTCTGGAAGGAAGGGGTCGTTCTTCGTGCCAAAATCTCTAAGGATGAGCAAGAAATTTTTCTTGGTAGTCAGCTAAAAAGCAGTTAATGGTAGACTACTGAGGAGCAGAAGCAAGACTCTACTGGGAGGTGGAGGAGCAGGCTGAAGGTTAGAAAACGTTAGCTCCATCGTTCTCTCAGGAGCAGACAACCCCTCACCACTACTTTCCGACGGGCTCCGCAGGACACCGAGGCCCTCGGTGAGCACCTGACACAGGAATCTATCACCCCCAGAAGGCCTGTGCTGGCTTCCCCTTGGCTGAGGGCCCATGTTTCTGCCACCCACAGTCCCAGCCACACAAAGCCATACGAAATGCTGTTAAAAACTTGTCAAGAAGTACATTCAGAGAATCATTAACATCAATAGGATTTTGGAAAAAGAGCAGCTTCAAGGATGCTCCTCACCAGCCAACACAGGCTTGCATTGCATAAACAGGCACTGTCTTTGCACGGGTCGTCAGGAAGGCTATTCCACAACCACCCCCGACAGGTCTTCAGTGCCTCTGGCAAGGGGCCCACCTGATTTGCCATCGGTCCGCGGGTCCATGATGACGAACTCCGGCCGCAGCTTGCTGATGCGCCGGCCCTTGAGGATGGGCACGAGCCCGCCCAGGTACTCCAAGTAGAGCGTGTAGCACGGGCCGCCCACCTCCGGGTCGTCTTCCGTGCGCTTCATGGTGCAGTGCAGACGCTCGTTGCCAGCCGACGGGTAGCTGACAAAGTCCCGCATGTTGTTGGGGTCTGGAATTGGGGGCTGGAGGCGGGCGGGGGAGGAAAGGAGTGTGGGCATCACTGGGTACTCTGACAGAGCACTGGCTGCAGCTCAGGGAGAGTTAACCACATGCTGTAAACAGTGATTCACGCTCTGGGTGCATGTCAGAATCTCCTGGGAGCTTTTAAAAAGTACCTAAGCCAGATTCCACTTTAGACAATGAAACTGGACTTGCTGGGGGTGGGCCTGGGCATGTGCATTTTCTGCAAACTCTCCAGGTGACTGTACCATGCAGCCAGGGTTGAGAATCACTACTGCAGAAGCAAGACTGTAAACCAGCTTGAAAAAAATCATAACAGATTCTAAACTCTGCTGTTTGAGGAAAAAAGTAACCAACAAGCCAATGTGATACTTAGAAGCAAAGATAGAAAACAAAAAGGAGAATACAGAAAAGGAGATGAGGTGCAGAGGGCCCATTGTTAAGGGGGAAGCCCACCCTTGAACAGCAGTTGGCAGCTGTGTTCCACACACCACCACGCAGAACAGCCTGGTTTCCGGGGTACGATCGGTATGAAGGACGCTGACAGGAGTGCTGGTGGGGGCCGCCCCTCCTCAGCACAGTGGTGAGGAAACTGGTTTCAATCCTGACCATTTCCATACCTACGATGGAGGGAGTTACTTGACTTCTAGGAACATGCTTCCCACTTTCTCAAGGGGGACTCATGGCAGCACCTGCCAGCAAGTCAGGACTGAATGGGCAGAATGATCATCAGGATGACCTGGTAATCAAGCCCAGAATACTGCCTTTGCGTGAGGAAGCTCACATCCATCACACAAGGCGAATCCCTGGTGGACATGAACGCTAGGGACAGGCGGCACGCGGGGAGGCCAGGGTGGAACTCTCAGTATCTTGTAGTAATCTTATGGTGAAGAATATGAGAACGAACGTATGTATGTTTCTATGTGACTGAAGTATTGTGCTGTACACCAGAAATTGACACAACATTGTAAACTGACTATACGTCAATAAAGATATATTAAAAAAACAAAACAAGCAAAAAAAAAACCTTACTACATTCCAATAGCACATTAAGGTACCTTAATAGGCACATATATTATCTCATTTAATCTTCTCAACTCTGCCATGTAGGCATCATTATTCCCATTTAACATATGTGAAAACTGAGGCTAAGAGAGTTACCTGACTCAGTTACAGCTGATCCACAGGACAGCACAATTCTCGCCGGTCTCCCCTGACTCTGCGCTCCTCCTGGCAGTCCCTTCAGGAGGGAGCAGGCGAGGTGAGGAAGGAGCAGAAGAGGGGAAGGCTTTACCTTAATGGTGGGGATGAAGGCAGTGGAGAGGTAGGAGCAGAGACGGGGGGGCAGGGTCAGCTTGCTGACGTCCTTGTCCTCTCGCAGGGCGCTGGCAATGGCCTGCTGGCACAGCAGCTGCAGGCTGGATACTCGGTGCTCCACACGCACCACGTATAGGGCCGGTCCTGATGCCATGAGCAGCCGTGAGTCCCGGTGTCCCCAACAGATGGAGATGATGGGGCGCTGCCAGGAGGTGAAGGGAGACTGCGTAAGCTTCTGCTCTTGTGGTGAGCAAAGAAAGACCATGCGTATCACGTCAAGCAAAATAAAATGGTCTAATAGATTTTCAGGATGTTGGTTTTAAACAGCACAACAGACAATGTCAAGTCCTATATTATAAAAAGTCAGTATTTTCCTTGAAAAATAGTTAGATCCCCAGGCCAGACCCCAAAGCAGGGCAACAGTGTTACAAATGTTCTTTTATATGTATTACCTCATTTAATTTGGTACCATAAAACCCAACGTAGGTCCATATAATGAAGTTTCTGCCAGGAGGTGCAAACAGCTTGCAGTATAGTAACCCATACTCCTTACTGAAGCTCTGGTTACCTGGATCCCTAAGTAACCAGCAGTAGTTTCCAAGGCTTGGAGAGGTAGCAAGCAGGTAGACCAGATGGCCCTTCCCTTTCATCCTGACAAGGAGCATTTCAGAGTGAAATTGACTTTGGATTTGGGTTCACAAGCTTGTGACACAGGGAATATTATATAACCCCTGGAAGTCTTTTACTTTCTCATGAGTAAAATGAGAGCTGGGGGGATTAAAAGGAGATGAAAGATATCAAAGTGCTTCTGGGACCCATCACAGGCTATAACCCACAGGCCCTCAGTCACTGTTATTCTCAACCACCCTTGAGCTGACGAGGCAGAGAAAGAAAGTGGAAAGGTATCTGAAAGGGGGAGAGAGAGGAACACAGTTTCTGTGGTGGCCACTCTAGGCGTTTGTGGCCATTATTTGCTTTAAAAAGGCAGGCTGAAACCCAAATATGCAAGTTAGAAACTGGTGTACTGGGAAAAAAATCCAAAGTTGAGAGGTGCCACCTAAGAAAGACCAGCCAAGAAAGAAAGAAAGAGGTGAAGGGTTGTGACAGAAAAGCAGTGAGAAAATCTCTGATTCTGATCCAGACAGATGGAATTCTAATTTAATGAAGTCTTGAGGGGCTTCAAGGATCAGAAGTGGGGATACCAGACCTCTTATATGAATGACAGATAGGAACAGAACTTTCACAACACTTCAGCGACAAACATCAAGATAAAAGGAACACATGAAGACACTTGCTTAAAATAGCCTCCAGGGTCAGCTAATCCTGGTTTCAACTTCAAAACAAAATGCAAGGATGAAGATGATTCATCTTTCATTTCCATCACAGTGAGGCGGGCAGCCGCTGGGCAGGACCACAGCCACAGCGTCCTGGGGGCAGACCCCGGAGCCAGGAGCTCAGTCTGGGGGCTTCCAGAGGACTTCCAAGATGGGCCACCTTAAAAGAGGATCCCACAGAGAATGTAGACACCATAGAGGAAACTGTTCACTTAGAGCAAAACATAATCACTGCTGAAGACAAGGCAGACAACACATGAAATGCATACAAAAATATTTCTTTTGTATCAATGCCCGTGAGCGCAGTTTAGGACAAAAGTTCTACTAGCAGCAAAATCATGCTCTGTCTTAAAGCTGTACCATCACCCTGCCATGCCCGAGTCTCCTAAGATAATGTTTACAACCTATAGCTCAAGCAATGAAGAACAGTTTCCAATTAGTACAATCTGACTGGTTGGAACTGGCTGCAAAAACATCAGACACTTTTTTCCTCTAATTTCCATGACTTCTGAGTCCATCTGCCTGACGTGCCAGTGGTCACAAGGGAAGAACATACATATTCCTCCTCCTTTCCCCTCCCTCCTCCTGGTTGTGCTTTTCATTGCAATTATCTCTGCATAATAGCTGATTAATATGTTTTGGGAAGGTCTTCTATAAAATGATCATTATGATATCTCATATCTCTGTAAAATGGAACTTAAACCACTTTACAGACTTTCAAACTAGATAAAAATCCTCTGTTTATTTACAGGTATAATCACTACCCATTGTAAGAAAAGTAACAATCATGTCTTAAAAACTTACTACATTTCACAAGCCCACTCCTGGGCATATGTCCAGAGGGAACCTTAATTCAAAAAGACACCTGCACCCCAATGTTCATAGCAGCACTATTTACAATAGCCAAGACATGGAAGAAACCTAAATGTCCATTGACAGATGACCGGATAAAGAAGTTGTGGTATCTTTGTACAATGGAATACTATTCAGCCATAAAAAATAAAATAATGCCATTTGCAGCGACATGGATGAAACTGGAGACTGTCATTCTAAGTGAAGTAAGCCAGAAAGAGAAAGAAAAATACCTATGATATCACTCATATGTGGAATCAAAAAAAAAGACAAATGAACTTATTTACAAAACAGAAACAGACTCACAGACATAGAAAAGAAACTTATGGTTACCAGGGCTGGAAGGGAGTGGGAAGGGATAAATTAGGAGTTCAAGATTTGCAGATACTAACTAATATATATAAAATACATAAACAAGTTTATACTGTATAGCACAGGGAACTATATTCAGTATCTTGTAGTAATCTTATGGTGAAGAATATGAGGACGAACGTATGTATGTTTCTATGTGACTGAAGTATTGTGCTGTACACCAGAAATTGACACAACATTGTAAACTGACTATACTTCAATAAAGATATATTAAAAAAACAAAACAAGCAAAAAAAAAAAACCTTACTACATTCCAATAGCACATTAAGGTACCTTAATAGGCACATATATTATCTCATTTAATCTTCTCAACTCTGCCATGTAGGCATCATTATTCCCATTTAACATATGTGGAAACTGAGGCTAAGAGAGTTACCTGACTCAGTTACAGCTGATCCACAGGACAGCACAATTCTCACCCATCTCCCAATCCCACAGCTCATGCTCATCTTACTGCAATGTGCTGCTGCCTCTCTGTCCATCACAAATACAGTGATGGACCCAAATTCTCCCCATGGTTCTCCCTTAATCCACTTGGCCAAGGCTATTTTACTCAGAAACAAACAGAACAACGTATGTGTAGAAAAGGCAAACAGATAAGAGGAGAAACGAGCTGCGTAAACAGCAAGTGGACAATGACCGGAATGGTCATTACAGCAGAAAAGAGCCCACAGGTCACGCAGAACCGCACACTGGGATAAACCAGCCAAGCAGCACCGCTGGGTGAGCATGAAACAGCAGCACGGCGGGCACTGCAAACGGAGGAAAACAGAATTCTCAGCAAGGAGGAGTGAAGGGACTAAAAACTAGAACTGGAAAAAAGAGCTGAAATTATTTAGCCTGGAGAGGTGATGCCTGTAGGGGTCTCAAAGGAGTAACTGTTATCTGGAACAAGGTGACAAAGAAACCAGGAACTTACAGCACAGTAACCTGGGGTACAGCATTCACTTATTTGCCCAAGTCAGTGATTATTCATTTTAGTAAAGGGGGAAATCATTCTCATTTAATTTATTTTCACAACATATATTCCATGTAAGATAAGAAAGTAGCAAAATAAATACTGGCACCTTTGCCATAATAAATCTTAAGACTGTATTAGAAAAATAAGGAAGAATTTACAACCAGTGAGCGCTGATCCTCTTGTCTGAAATTCTGAGGTATCACTGACGTCAGAAAATTGATTATTGTAATTATCACTGAGTCTGAGGCCAGGCAGTAGGGCCATGAGCCCCCAGGATCCCTTTAAGTCCTGTGAGCCCATAGAAAGTCCTCTTACCTGGGAACCAATGCACAGCATGGCGATCACAGTTAACAATACTGTACTAATACTTAAAATTTGCTAAGAGAGAAGATTTTAAATGTTCTCACCACAGAAAAGAGATGGTAATTACGACACTGAGCTCTTAGCTAGCCTCACGGTGGTAACCACACTGAAATACTTAAGTTCATATTAAAATGTTCATATCAATTACACCCTAAGAAAGATGGAAATAAATAAGTAGGAAAATTAACACACACAAAAATCCTTTTTATCTTTTTTTTAAAATAGTTTTTTACATCTCATCTTACTTCCTAAGTCTCATTTCTTGCTGGTGCTCATTTTCCTGTACTCCAGCCTACAAAGACCTCACTACAGATGTTCTGCTGTTTCAGAAAGAGCAAGAGTCGAGGTGCTCACAGACATGGGGTGCGGGGCGTCCTGATTTAGCCACGTCACCATCAGCGATTTCTGCCGCCAGGTCCTCTAGGGTCTGTGGCGCTGGCAGGACAGGAACCCACTGCCAGCCCGCCCACGGCCCTCCCCGGCCGAGCGCCGCCTGCCCGGGGAACTTGCCGCCCCCCGGCATTAGCTGTAGCAGAAGAGCAACGTGCCAGGTGCTCTCTTCCTGCAAACCTGGGAGCACACAAGGGTCCACACCAGCACAACTCCCACAGATTAATGTTTTTGTCTGAACAGCTGCTGTCTGCTAGGGAAAAACTCAGCTGTAAATCTGTGGACTTAATCGCCTTCTCAAATCACACAAAATGACTATTTTTAGAACCAATGGCTAGAACTGTGAAGTTGATAACATTCAAATCTTAATTTGTATAGGAAAGTTCACATATTTTCCACCTAAATCTGAGGCAAAAGGTCAAGAACATGAGTGCATTTCATGGAGTGTCAGTCAGTGTGGTGGAATCCGGTGCTCTGGTGAGTGTGATGGAGTGATGACAGGTGTCCTGAGGGGAGAGGCTGCCGTTCACATGGCGCTCAGGGAGGGGTCAGTGCGGTCAGGCTGTCCTGCCAGATGCCGAGCCACCTAAAAGGAGAGCAGGTTAGTCTGCTCACTTGTCCTCCCCCGCTACATCCAGCTTCATGGAGTGCTCACAGCCAGCTTCAACGCCCTGGCACGTGAAGACACACCAAGTCCCTCCCAACCCTCCCTGTGCTCCTGTACAACACCCATCACGCATCTAGCCAATCATTCATTCATCTGCTGAGCTGTCAGCATCTCTCGCTACATCAGTAAATATCAGTACATATCTGCCAAATGTTTATAATGGTCCGGACACATCCTGGGTGTTAGGGACTGACACGGAATAAAATAAATTCCCTGCCTTCATGGAGCCGACGTTCTGAGGAGAGATGGGGAGAGAGAAGTCTCAGCCTCCGTGACAGGGCTACCTGATAGTGAAATCGCTACGAAGTACAAACAGAAGGATAAAGGGCTAGAGAAAGAGCAAGGGGGTCGTTTCAGACAGAGGGGAGCGGAGAAGGCTTCCAAGGAGGAAGTTTCAGCAGCGGCCTGAGATGAGGGAGTTGATCATGTTTTTAACTGGCGTTGAACGCTTCCTCACCACACCACTATTTCTGTATACAGCAGTGTGTTGCACAGAGTCCTCTAAAAATTGAAGGGGAGGAGAATGCAGGGTGTCCTTTCCATGTTAAAGATAAGCTGTTCAAGCAGGATTAGAGTCAACAGACAACAAAGGGGTCAAGCCGGCTACACTGGCCCAGGACAGGAAAACGAGGCCGTCCAGGCACACGGTTTCTGGCTGATGGGGCTCCGGGCTCGGGACGGACCCCGTGAATGTCAGAGGGCTCTCCTGCCCCCCAGTCGCTTGTCCTCCTAAGAAGGAGGCGGGGGTCTCTGTGATAGAAGAAATGTACTTCAAGTGTTTCACAGCCCCTGGTAGAAGCGGGTGTTTCATGTTTGTATAAGCACGTACACAAAAAGAAAACCTTCCAGAAGAGTTCACTTTTAAAAGAGACCAAGTTGGTGACTGGTCACCATTAAACTGTGCTGGTTGGAGCCATGGACAGTTTTGAATATTAAGTTACAGTGATTTGGCCCCCAAATTGCAGTAATTAAAGTTAGCTCAGGATTCAGTCACCCAAACCTCCATTTAAAAAGAACACACCATTCTTGTATTTTCTAAGCAGACAAGCCCAGAAAGGACTTTCTCATCTATTTACAGCAAACAATAGGAAAAGCACACTACAAACTATAAAAGCACACTTTGTGAGAACAAGTAGAGTTACTTCTCAACAAAAGGAGGTAGAGTTTTGCTAAAGGATTCTCCTTCCGGAGCATAGTAGTCTATGCCCATAAAGGCAATCCCTTACTTGATTTTTCAGTTTCCACACTTAGCTTCTTCCTCTCTTAGTTTTTTTATCCAACTATCTTACATCAACACCTGAACCTTATCGAACATAAGGTGACTCCACCAACTTGCCTTTAACGCAAAAAAAGTTCATAAAGTGAAAACACACACAACAAACAAACCCCCAAGACCCAACCAGCCAACCAAAGGGTCTGTGGACATCAGTCAGTGGTGCTCACTCTCACATCTGTGGTCAGGTTATCAGATATGCAGGTATTTATAGATGATCACGGATAACAGCTAGTGGGATAAAGCATAGACTTTAAGTAACAACAGGTAGGAAGGAAAGAAAAAGAAATCATAGTATTTCCTTCCAAGAGTGTCAGCCACAGGCACTACTGTTATGAGGAAATCAGGAGAATCCGTTTTAAAGGGAGACTGCCGCAAGTTTGTGCCGGGCAACGGTTTTGTATACAATATGCCACAATCTCATTAACTTGGAAATAAATCATCCAATCTAAACCACATTTAGTTCTTCTTATAAACAGCCCAATAAATTGCCTAACTTCCTTCCTGCTATAAAAACGTCCCTGCCTTTGGACAACTTGAATAGAAGAGCACAGACAACATGTGATTTTAGAATCATTACAGACAACAGTTAAGCTGGTGCTACCCAGAATCAATATCGTACTTGAGTTTTAGTAGCATCATTATTTAACTTTATATTATTGAGGCAAATTTTTCAATGGTTGAAAAAGACATGCAAGTGGAAAAAAAAAAAGAATCAACAACTTATTAAAATGCTGAGACCCTGTGCAAAAATCCTTCTCTGAAGGAAGATGAGCCGAAGCCCTCTCTCATCCCTGAACCTCAAGCAGTTTAAATTCAGGACCTATGTTAGTTTCATGTGATGGCTGATGAGAACTTTTGCAATGGGTAAGGCCCTAGAGCTTCTTCTATATTCTAATCACACTGAAGATGAAAAAAATGAAGAAAATATGGTCTTTAAGAAAATAAGACCAGTAAACAGAAAGGTGTTATAAACGCAAGAGGCATTAAGCACTCTGAAGGTTCACAGAGAAGAGGGGTCGCAGTCTGTAGGTAGATTTGCAAAAGGCTGTGACTGCCCTGACATTAAGAGGACAGACTTCCCCAAGTGGAGATGGCAGGGAAGGACAATCCCTGTAGGGGAAGAGAAGGCCAGCGGGAAGGGTGCCCTGAGTCCAACAGAACGGTGGACAATGCTGCATGTACGTGGCGTGTGCTTCAGCACTGTACTTCACCAACATTCTAACAGACATGAAAGACTGATTAACTCAGGAAGAGCGGACAATTCCCATCCTCTCCTAGTTGTCTTTCCATTAGGTTAGGGATAGAAAGCTGGCATGAGATTTGATTGAGGGCACACAGCCTACTGGTTCAGATAGTCAAAGGAAAGGACTAGAGAAAGCACATGTTGACAACTGTCCATCCATTCATCTGCTTAACAAATACTTACTGAGCACCCACTGTGCTCTGGGCAGTGCACCAGGAGCAGGGTCACAATCACTGTGTAAACAGGTTATCTTTCCTTCAATCCCAAATCCACCAGGACTCCAACATCTGTGTAATTCTGCCACACACTTCAGCCTCATGCTCGTGGCCTCAACTCTACATACGCTATTTTGGCTCTTCCCTGGGTTCACCTCATCACTCACAACTACCTTGCTTCTACAGTACAAATCTGACTTTCCTTTCCAACCACAGCTCCCCACCCTGTGCTATCACGTCTTCCTGAACATCCTTTACTATGACTTTACACTTGACAGTCTTAGGTCACAGAGCTTCCACCCACTCAGATTCCGTGGCTGCCCATTTCTATAACATCCTTAGTAGTTCCCTAAACTCCTTCCATTTTTTTGTCTTTCTGCTACATTAATCTCTCCAATTCCTAATCTGAGGCAGCCTGTACCACTTCTGCCTCCAAAGCTTGTGGAGGAGGTGTGTGCAACACTGACTCTCACTTCAAACACACTAGCCCACTCTGGCCAGGATGTAAGATTTCAGTTGCTATCTTGAGTGGCTTCTGCATCACATGCCTATACACTGGCGCTTAGAGCTCTGAGCTCAGGGCCAGCTGCACAGTAGCCCCTCAAAATATGTTTGTTGGATGATTGAACAAATGGACAAACAAATATGCTTATCTGCTCACGGAAGATATTACACTGTCTAAAAGATACATTTAAATCCTACAACTCAACAACAGAAAAACTAATAACTCAATTTAAAAATGGGCAGGGTCTTGAACAGACATTTTTCCAAGGAAGATATACAAATGGTCAAGTACTTGAAAAGATGCTCAACATAACTAATCATCAAGGAAATACAAATCAAAACCACAATGAGACACCACTCACATCCACTTGGATGGTTCCTATCAAAAACTCAAAAAATAACAAGTGCTGGTGAGGATGTAGAGAGGCTGGTATCTGTGCATCACTGGCAGGGATGTAAAATAGTGCAGCCACGTGGAAATTCAAACACCGTGGAAAATCAAAAAATTAGAATTACTGTATAACCTAGCAATTCAACTTCTGGGTATTTATCTAAAAGAACTGAAAGCAGCAGCTCAAAGAGATATTTGTATATCCCTGTTTATAGCAGCGTTATTCATAACAGCCAAAAGCTGGAGGAAAACCAAATGTCCACTGATGGATGAATGGATAAACGAGATAGACGTATATACATAATGGCTTATTATTCAGCCTTACGAAGGAGGGAAATTCCGACACACATTACAATGTGGATGAACCTCGAGGACATTATGCTAAGTGAAACAAGCCAGACACAAAGAGACAAACACTGGGTGATGCCACTTACATGAGGTATGAAAAACAGTCAAATTCATAGAAACAAGATGGTACACATTACAGTTTCAGTTTTGCAAGATGAAGAAGTTCTAGAAATCGGTTACATAATAATGTAACATGCTTAAAAGTGGTTAAAATAGTAAATTTTATGTTATGTGTATTATGCTACAATAAAAATATATTTAAATAATTATTGTCTGCATCTAATTACAAATTTCCCCAAATCTGGTGTACCTGTCTCTCTGATGAGCTGGGTAAGGTTAGGACATAAGCCCCTAGTTTATTTTCACCCCCATCAGCCCTCAACTCACTCTCAGACCTGTCTCTGCTGCACCTCCACCAGAAGGGATTTTGCCTCCATGATAACTGGTCCAGACCAGAAACGGTCTAAATATTTTTGGGAAATAAAAGCAAGTAGCAAGGGGCCCACACTTTCTTAAAGACTTTGAAGCTTTTTTACTTACTGTTTAACAATAATTTAGTTTAAAGGTAAAGGCACATTACTGGCGTAACAAACAACATCAGGGTGAGGAAATGAAGATCAGCATTCGCTTCTGCAAGTTTCTGATTTCTACCTGAGACTGACGATAAACACCAGCTCACTCCGCTTACTCGCCATCCACTCATTTGGGGAATGGAATACAGTACTTTGGTTGAAAGGTGAAAACTTATTTTCCCTTTGTTTCTTTTGGTTCATACCCCATAATTTAATTTAGGTCAACAAAAGATTAAATTCTGTGATAGATCAACATAATGAGTAGAAACAACCCAGGCATATTCAGCGGAGGCCGGGGGCGTGCTAGCGCTGCGGTGTCAGTGTGTCTGACACTCGTCCTTACCTGCACAAGCGTGTCCAGGGTAAAGATGTGCTCCCCCCGAACATTGTAGAACTTGACCATGGCACTCTTCAGAAGAGGGCCATTGGGAAGGTCACCGAGCTGGGTCTGCCGTTCCATACCAGCGACTGCCAGGAGGTCTCCCTGCGTGCACCACTGGGCCACCACCTCTGAAATCACAGAGAAGAAACGTTGAGTACAAGGAGGGGACCCTTCCTGAACTTCCATTTGAGCAGTTTAAACAACAGAACCACTGAGCAAACACACGAGTGGCTCGTCCCCTTTCTCTCATGAAGACGACAGCTACGATTTCCCTGAAGGCAACACAGACTCTACTTAAACACAGATGTCTTACTACGTGGATGGGGACTGCATTCCCCTGAAACATAACTAAACCAGGAGGAAGCCACGTACGATGAAGCTGGGTGTCAAATGCCCACCTCCCAACCAGCACTTCCGTCAGGAGATGGGAAGAACCCGGGAGTGCAAGGGGGATCGCACAGCCCGATGCTGCACAACCTGACGTGCTCTTCCCACCGCGGGGCCCCGCTCAGAGATGACTCAGGGAGCTCACAGAAGCTGAAAGGAAAATGCAAATCAAGAGCAGAGCCTAAATTTATATTCATTTGATTTCTGTGCACCAACGGGCAGATAACGCTCAGATAAAGGACATGTTTGCAGATGAAGGCCGTGACTTTCACTCAACTTTTGGATGTTTTGGAGGCTCAGAAAAGAAGATAAAGCTTCTGTGGGTGGTGATGTTGTCAGAGAAATTTTCACAGTGAAGATGTGATGCTCACCTAGAAGCCATTCAGTATCTATAAGAAATGGCTATTAGATGGTTTGTCTAATTCCAATGTGAGCAATTTATTCTTGCTGGTAAAATCAGCTATTGGTACAGTAAGATTTATAGCATAGTTTTTTTCCCTCAGGACCCTAAAACCGTATCTGGCTTATCCAAAGATCACTGAAATCCCGAAGTCCGTGGCCTGTCCTGCAGAGAGGCTGGAATTTAAAGGTGCACCACCTGGACGGGGAAGGGCTTCAGAGCTGGGTCTGGAATTTGCCAGTTCCTGAGCTCTCCCAGGTCACATGTAATAACAGCATCTCTCTTACTCATGTGCGGTACCAATTCTGATGTCAACACCAGCACATTCTGAGATCACTGAAGCTCCTTAACTTCCCTTTAAGATTGGACAGTGGTCCCTGGGACAAGACAGCTTTCCAGACCCAGGGAACTGAGAGATTGCTTGTCAAGTCAGTTGTAGATAGAAATCTCGAGATAGAAGTAGCAGAGGGCTGAGAGGAAGCAGTTACAGATAAACAGAAAAGAAGAACAACTCTACAATCTGAGATAGTAAAAGCATTAGTAAATACAGGGTTTTTTTTCTTTTTCTTGTAGAAAGAAGTAAATAAGGTTAAGTACAAATCCGAAAATGAAAAATAACTTAAAAGAATCAAGTAAATATCATGATGAATAAGATCTAAAGACAGATGAGGTGGGGCCGCTGGAGGATCTGTGCATGGACCAGAATGTGCTCTGGACGTGCAAATGGCTCGATGCTTCAGCGAAAAGCCTGGTGGTGATAATGAACCCGAAATGGCCATCTCTGGACGGCAGCCTTAGAAAAACAAGGAAGTTGAAAGGAGGAGCAACTAACACTGATGGGTGAGGACAGCAAAGAGAGGGAATCTACCTTGTTTAGGACAGAAACCTCACTGCAGTATCGTGGACGTGAGGACAACAGCACTCAGTTCCCACAGCCCTCGGCTGACCTGCTTTGCTCAGCGCAGGCGAGTGAGCTCCTGCACCAACCTTTCTGTTATGTATTTATTCTAAAGAGTTTCTGTGTCATGGTGGTTTTTCCCAACAGAAAAGTGGGTTGTTGCCCCTGCAGGGTGGACCCAGACACAGAAGCCATTCAGAGGTTGCCCAAAAATGAATCCAGGGACCCCTTGTGCTCAAGACCCCTTCTACTAGATGGCGCTATCTGAGTAACAATGAGCCCAAATATTTACAGGCAAATAAATGCTCAGGGGTTTCTTCGCTATAGTTATAATGTTATACTGAGACAGCTGGAATCTACAAAGGTAAGTCATTCTTTTGCAAAAACAGAAAGTTTCATAAGAATGATGTCATTTCTTTCTTGCTCTGGTAATAATACAACCAAGAGCATTAAAAAGATGCAGAAACAGGTGTGAGCCCCTTGATATTTGGCATAAACCAGTCCTGATGCACATCAGTCACTGGGGAAACAGGTTACCTCTGTAAAACCCTGGCCTGAAGAACTCCAGAGTGGGACCAAGAAAGAAAAGCCTAGTGCCAGCCAGGGCAGGGGTGAGTCAGTGCTCTCCAGGTGCTGAGCTCCTATGGAGATTAAAATCCTCCTACATTAGTACAGAATGAAACAAGAATCAAGTATTTATTGCATTTTTAGGTGTCACAATGAGGAAGGAGCAGGGACAGAAACGTCTGCATGTGGCCAGGACAGAGCCTTTACTGTCCCAAACACTTCTGGTAAGCTGTGCTCATCTTATTCCAGAAAATGATTCCCAATATCTTTGCCCAGTGTTTCAGTAATAATTTCATTTATTTTAGCCTCTAAAAATGTATTTCAAAATATCACCTAGAAGGAAAGGACTAGTGCCTTACCCAGGCAGCCGCTCCTCACTTTTCCCGGAGCGCTTAGCACAGTCTCCCAGGGTGTGGGGAGTTCCAAAGCACAACAAAGGCTCATCTTCCCAAACCACTGATTCTTCTTGATCATTCTGAGGGGCGTGTGTGTAAAGTTTTGGTCTCTTAAGAATTCTACACAGAGAAAGACAGCAGAATAACACTATCCTATTTTCACTAAACAGTTTTATGGATCTTTTCTGGTAAAAGCCTGGAGGGTCAAAATTTGGTACCTAGTCAGCAGTGAGAAAATTTGGTTCTTTTATGTTGACAAGAGCTTGCTGTGCGGCACTGAGTTACTCATCTCTGCGTGCTTCCACAGGGAAACACAGTGCACATCGTCACACTTCTGTGTGTTTCTCTCGCCCGTCAGCCCTTCATCAGTCTAATCCGCAGGTCCCCAAGTCCGGGGCCTGTCATGAACAGACGGAGACCGTCTGTTTCCATTACATCCTTAAGACGGAGAAAAGTCACAATATGGTCCAAATAAGGTGAACCAATTTCTAATTATAAACAGAAGTCCCTGAAGGCTGGGACACTCAGCAGAGTTTTCTTCAAGGCAGAACCTTCTCAGCAAACATCTGCAAAGCAGAATCCCCCCGACCTCCGTGAATCTGCGATGAAGTCAGACAGGTGGTGGGGGAGAGGGCTGACGGCGGGGACCACGAGGAATCTGGCATTCTAAGCTCTTCTGCACATGACGTAAAGTACAGTGTTGGTGAAAGCTGGAGAATACCATGAGTTACCTTTCTTCACTGGAAAAGTTTTCTGATGATATTTCTTTGAAATAAAAAGTATTTCAGTAAATAAGAAATACCAGACCTTTTCGGTCTACAGATCCTCCTCAACTTACAATAGGGTTACGTTTGGATAAACCCATGGTAAACTGAGAAGGCACTGAATACACCCTACCTACGGGACACCCTAGGTTACCCAAGCCTACCTTAGATGTGCTCAGAGCACCAACCTTGGCCTCCGTCTAACACAAAGCCTATCTTACAATAAAGCGCCGAGTATCTCACGTGATTGACCGACTACTGCACTGAAAGTGAAAAACAGAGCATCTGGTGCAGAGCGGCTAGAAGTGCGTAGGCTGCTGGCCCTCAGGACTGCCGGGCTGACCGGGACTGCACTCGCTGCCACTGCCCGGCATCATGGGAGAGGATCAGACCACGCACTGCTAAGCCGGACAAGAGCCAGATAAAAAATTCAAAGCACAGTTTCTACCAAACATACGTTGCTTTTGTACCAAGTCGAACCACAGAAAGTCAGGGACTGTCTGTACCTCATGAGTCAAGCAACCGATCAGCCTGAGACAGGACAGGTTACTGTGGACGGAAGCAGCTGCCACGAGTCATCTCTGACAGCACCTGGCGACCTCTCCCCAGTATTTACTGACATATCCCATAAAGTAGTAGACAAAAATTTTCAAGAAACTACTGCTGTTCACGCCACGTGTAAGACTGAGTCCTTAAAATATTCTGAAACGAAGACAGAAAAGAGAAATTGCCTACATGCAGCACCTACGGGATGACACCAATTTACTGAAGTTTCACCCAACTTTCTAAAACTAGGAAGACTTAGCGCAAGAGCACCTCGTCCATGGAAGTGTAGGTGACTGAACAGATTTTACATTAGATTTAGACTTACAGTCAGGTAATTAAACAAGAATGCTAACTTTGCCTGTATTTTAGCATAAATCTCAAGTCAAGAACTTTCCCATTTGGGGGGGGCTACTGTGGGTCGCCTCCCCACGTCACCTCATCCTCATGCTCCTCATCCTTTGCTGCTCATTTGTAGGGATGTATTAAAAGTGCTGTTCAATAGAAAAATTAGTCTGACAGACAGAGAACAAAACAACATACCCAAGGAATAAAAAACAAAGTTTCCATATGTAGGCAAGATGGTGAAAAATTAGAAGAATTCACCCTATAAAGAATACAAAGGAACTGGGTGGTAATTGTGGCATTTTCAGTTCCAGCCAGATACTCAGCGGAGGGCAAAGTTCAGGACTGCAGAACCAGATGCAGGTTCTGATGAAATTAACCAACTTAGTTACGAGGTTTAAGAATAGAATTTTAGAAGAACAAAAGCAGAGCTTGGAGTACTAAATATATGGGGGAATTTATGATGACCATCTTTTTGTTTTAACTCCACAAAAGACAGAATACTCAGAAAAGAAGTTACAGAAAACTTGAAGGAATTTAAGATCATCATCATCATAAAAAAAGTACTCAGCTCCTAACGGGCCCATATGTGATATAAAGAAAGACTTCTACATGTCCTTCAGGAGTTTACAGGCTACATGATTCCTTGCAGTTATAGTTATGACACAGCAACATGGGACACCCAAGAGAGGGAGTTTAATTTGCTTCTGAAAGTATTCTACAGTTTTGAAATAGCATTAACAAGTGCTCAGTGGGGTGTGTAGGCAGGTGTGATGCATCCCAGCCTATCAACAGTTAAGTATATGTGCTTGGTTCTCTATATCCCTGGGATTCCTCAATAATTCAGACAAGAAGCACGTGGCTATGACTCTCTGGTCCGACAGCCAGTTTTGAATGACCACAGCAAGTTGAACCGCAGGTTCCAGTTTGGCCTCCACTTCCCACTCCCTGTAATGCTGAGGACCAGAGGCAGCCTGGGATTTCTACACTGCACCATTCAACCCTGAAGAGACAGCACTGTTTTTCCAAATAACTCACCAGCATCCCAACACCTGCAGTATTCCTGAACTCAAAATTCAGAACACCCGCAATGCCAATGGACACCAATTTCCTCGTAAGACGGCATTTCATCACACCTCTCAGAAAGGCATCAGCCCCGACTGTTGACCTTTGCCTTCGTGTCCCCATCTGACAGTTCTGGAACCCCCACAAGCCTGCCAAGGTAACTTTACTGCACAACGATCAGCTCCTTAAGAAGCCTTAAAATTACAGGGGCTTCTGAGTCATCTGTCTTGTGTGTCGTCTGCTCTGCAGGCCCGGCAGTGCCGTCCATCACTGTCAGACAGCGCCGGCTGGAGGCGAGTCCCGGAACACCCGAGAGATGGCTCCTGCCATGGTGGGGAAAGGGCAGGTGAAGATGAGGATGGCTGCCATGAATCCCTCCTCAAGATGAGACCAGACAGGTATTGACTTGTCACATAAGCAGAGGAGTAAAAGGCAAGACCATTATGAACAGACCACAGTAAGCCCAGAAGAGGTCACCGCAGGGGACAGAATCAACAGGATCAGGTGGACGACATTCAGCTCGCAAGGCAAAGCGCGGGGCCGCTCAGCAGCCAGGGCCAGGCGCAGCCCTCTGTACCTTTCAGCCCGGATCGGATGACAGTGGGAGACAGGTCGTCGTAGCTGTTCATCAAGCTGATGTCTCCCGAGGTGAAGCTGACGGTGAGCAGCGGCTTGATGTTCTGCACTGGGATGGGGTACGCTGCTGGGCCGTCTGCGGGGACAGAAGGGCTGAGTGAAAAAGAGGCAGTGAGCACGTGACCCAGATCCAGGCCCGCACGCTGCGATCCCGCAGAGGGCCTAAAGACTGCCTACTGATGTAGACTCCGGACTGGGATGTTACCAAGTAGGGCAACGCCACGCAGCACTCAGGATCTACACCAAAGCATCAGGGTGCTTCCCAAGAACTCTGCAATGAGAGGCAGCGGGGACAACCAGCCCTGAGCCACCGAGTGGGTCTCCCTGGGCCCAGTTGGGCAGTGCTGAGCGTATGTGTGAAAAGCTGATTAACCTGTGTGGTCACGTGTCACACGTGTAAACATAAATCATTTTAATATTACATACTGTATAAAGATGGTGGGAAGAGAGATGAAAAGGTTTTCTTAATCTTCGTCCAACATACAGAGAAAAGTTACTTTTCAACATTGAATGCATTTCACTGAAGATTATAGGAAATAAGCAGCCATAGTGGCCACCAGGAGCTCTGCTTTTACCGTAAGAGACCCCAAATCTGGAGAGAAGGCCGAGGTTGGATGTGGCTCAGAAGGACTTCAGCTGCTTGCACAGAGCACAGCCCCAGGAAGGAAGCCCTGCTGTGTGCGGGCGAGGAGACTCATGAGTGTTAAGGAAGGAGCCACAAGGGGTCAGGCTCTGCCTTCTTCCACGTGTTGCTTCAGAAAGTAAGAGTCAGTCCTCCACGGCCAGGGTGAATCAGGGCCCTTTCAGGAGGCCCCGTGGGCTTCCCTCCATGCTGAGCTCGTCTCTGGCAGCCGTAGGTGTGGGTCAGCCTGACATCCACCCCTCACCCCTGCTCAGCCCCGCCTGAAGAGGATTCCCAGTAATCACTCCCCTTCGCTCCACCTTAAGATGCTGCAGGTACCCACCTCTGCGCTCCAGCTCCCTGGGCCACCAAGGACACCCTGCTCTATCTGAAAGGCAAATCCCAGCCACCTTCCAAATGGCCCCATTGCTTCTGAAAAGCGTACCTGGTTAGAGTGGCAGCAGGAACTGAATTCTACTCTTAGACTTACTCTGGACTTGCTTTATAAACTTGCGTCTCTGGATCTTGTTTCTTTCCCTAGTAAGTGGGGGTAAGTAAATATGCATTCAGTCTAGTAAAGCTCTGTTTTAAAAGTCTGCTGAATCCAATGTTGGAAAGACACTGACTCTATCACTGAGGCAGGAAAAGGACCGACACTCCCCTCAAGGCCGGGGCCCTACTAGGAAATGAACTTAGGAGCTGAGAACACTCTCCCTTCCAAGACCCATCAACCCTGAAATACTATCACCGTCTAAATTTTTTTTCACGTATGAACATTGCCTTCTCCCTAAATGAGTGAATGAATATGAATACGTACCTGTCTCAGGGAAGCACATTTTATCACACCTGGGACAGGAGGGAGAAGACAAAACAAAAGCACTCCGAGTACCAATGCCAGCAGCCAGTCGTGGGGGAGAAAATTAAATACTTTCCCTGGACCAGCCTTTCACAGGACAAACGCACCGACAGTCACAGGGAAGGGGAGAAACTGTCCGGCACGTGCCCTTTGCCCATTGAGGGCACTCAGCAAGCGGCGTGAGCACAGTTGCCCAGGCTGAGGACAGAAGTCCTGAGTAGTGTGACATCTTATCAGGGAGACATTCCCTTCCATTATTCATAACATCTCTTCCTTCTAAAGAAAGAGGCTGGAGCAGGGGATAGGGATCCTGGGGAAGAGCCAAAGCCCTGGGCTGGCCAGTGCTGAAGGCTGACGTTGGTGATGGCCAGCATTGACACCAAAGGCTTCTGCTTTGGGGAGTAAGGCACACAGCAAAGGGTGAGGGAGGCTGGAGTCTGAAACTATCCCCAGGGATCTGAAACAATCTTTCATTATGGCCCAAATGTTAACAAACTCAGATGTCACCCACTCTAATCGGACATCACTGTGAGGCTTGGGGGCGGGGGGTGAGGGAGGGAGGTTCTTCTGAACTGAGAAATGGAAGACCTTCCGCCTGAAATAAAAAAGATGGGGACACGGATATCAGCCCCACGGACTGGCCTTCAACACAGGCAGAACTAATCCTTTTCTCACACAGCTAAAGCTACAGGCTTTACTACCAGCAGGGACTTGGAGCATCACACATGAAGGTACAGTAACAGCACAGCACGTCTCAGCTCCCGCTCTCTTGACTCTCACTGAGCAGCTAAGCCCCACAACACCCTAGGGATGTGGAAACGGTCACAAGTCTCCTTGTACGTCTAGGAAAACCTAGGCCGCTGGAGCTTCATCAACCTGACCAGGGACCCTGCGAGAAGGGATGGCAGAGAGAAGACAGTCAAGTCAAGAACCAAGATCAGGCTGGCCCCGCCTTGTCTTTCATTGAGAACGCTTCCTGGGAAGTTAGTGTGCTGTGCACGTGGCGGCCCTCCTCCCTCCCTCCTGCAGGTGGGTCATTCTCCTTCTGTGTTCTTTCATCCCTTGGAGCCAGCGAGCTACCTTGGGGCGGGGAGTAGTCGTCGGAGTCGGTGTCGCTCTCGCTGCTGTCCTCCACCAGGAAGGCGGGGTAGTTCCAGGACATGCTGAGGATGCCCTCCGACTCATGCAGGAGGAGGTGGGCCAGCATCCTGCCGTGACAGTCCATGACGATCACCTGTCCATCGGCCGTGCCAAACAGCACCTGCAACCAAGGACCAGCACCCGTGATGGATGGGGAGAAAGGACTGCAGTTTCTGGCAAACATCATCTTCCAACTTGTTTACCAGGACAAAATATAGTTAGAACTAAAAAAAGAGACCAGTTAAGCAATAGAGGAAATACACAAAACATTAAGTAACAGAAACTTAGCTGCTATTACTGCAAGAATTTTCATCCTCTATTACTGAAATGTGACCAATACTATAATAAATATATTCATTATGTTGTGTGAATGTTTTCAAATGCCAGCAAAGTCATTTTTTGTGGGTTGCTTTTGTTTTGTTTTTGGGTTGGAGGAGGAGGGTTATGAGGAGGATAATATTTACTTATTTTTCTTGACAAAGAAGCAGCAGCAGAGGTCCATTATTAACATTTTCTTAAATTTGGAAGAACTTTAGGTTTATGTAAGCATGTTTGTCTCATGTTTTATTTTACTGAGAATAATAATGGTGTTGACATATTTAATTAAGAGTGTTCTAATGAATTAGCAGTATTAATACATTCACTGAGTGCTGACTTTGCGCCAAGCACTATTCTAACAAGTCTACCTTGTTAATGGTCAAAGTCACCCTGGGAGATCAGCAGCAGCACTGCTGGCATGGAGCTTAGACGGCCCGCCACCCCGCGTGCTGGGGGCGGCTCCTGGAGGTCCAGCCTCAGCATGGGTGGGAGGTCGGCAGGCACACGGCTGGCACACCACATTACCCTCTGCTCTGGGTGCTCTACAGCTTCTGTGTCTGTTGGCACTAAAATCTTTGTATCTTCTGTGTCTAATGAGACTGGGCTATCCGTCTGCAACTCACTGTGAGAACCAAGCAAATTATTTCCATTTTATAGATTCAGAAACAACTTGACAGAGGTCAAGTAAGTTGACAGAGTCACTAAGTGGTCAAGCCAGGGCTTTCTAACTAGAAAGATTAGGACTGTCACAAAAGGAAAGTTACTTAAGATTTTTTAGGTCCATACCTCTTTTTGCTTTTAAGACGTTGACATTAAGCTCCTTGAGGGTAAAGACTGTCCACAGGGGTACCCGCAGCATCAAACAGAGCTTGGGTACAGCGGTCACTCAGTAAGCATCTGCTGTTACATGAGTGAATTAAAGTCACTGACAATCAAAAGTCAATCTGAGGACATAAATCCTGATGATGAGGCCAGGCTGGTTACTTGCAAGGGAAGATACATTTCATTTAAGTAGTAATAAGCTCATGGAATTTACAGAGCTCTTTTACATAAACCAATTGTCCATCAAATATTCCTTTAAGCATGATCTACATTTTAATGACTGAAAAACCAAAAGAAAAAAAAAAAGTTAAAACAGTTTTCCCCCAGGGCCAGTGATGAATCACTATTAAATGCTGCTTAAACGAAAAAGAGACAAAACTAACTAGGAACACAGTAAAAATCATTTTAGAAAAAACTGAATTTTTTGGTTGCCAACAGAGAAAGTTAAGTATTCACTGGCATAGCTATAAAGACTTCATGTGACAAAGGCAAAGGGAGGGGTCACCGGAGCAGTGGGTCAGACCTGCGGAAGCTCTGGGAGAGGCAGGCACCGCACGTGCTGACTAAGCAGTTCTGAGTGAAGACAAATACGGAATGTGTCTTCTTGTAACTTCAAAGTAAAGATGTGTGGGAACCCCTGTGCCAGGCGACATCCCGGGAAGCTGGCTTCTCTTCTTCCCTGACCACATTCTCATTTGTTCAAGCACGTTTTAAAGAGTAGCCACGTGCCTTTGTGCAGGTGAAGGGGTTATTTCATCACTTACGACTTTGTTTCTAATAAACACAGCTCATTAGCAGGCAACAGCAAACAATTACTCTTCTCAAGTACTCAGGATTAGTATGTATAAATTCCAAACAAGTTCCCTGACCCCTCCCGTACTGGGTTCCCACGTTACCCCACAGTCCATTGGCACAGTCATCACTCATATCTTAACTACGTGATTAGCTGATTTGTCTGACTCCTGTGCTAGACTGCTAGCTTCCGAGGACGTGGACCATGTCTGCTCTGCTCCCTACGACCTCCCCAGGGCCTGTCATATTAGATGACACATGGCAATGGTAGTGTCTGTGGAGGGAGGGAGGAAATGCCTCTGCACTGAAGCATCTTTTGAGTAACACTCACATTTTTCCATTTTGGAGAAGAACAGATACCATCTAACTCCTGAATAAAGGACTGGTGTTTTAATGAGCTTTCAGTGTTCAACATCACACTAAAGCAAAACAGGACCAAAAAAAAAAAAAAAAAGAACAGCTTCCAAATTCCCTATCATTAATCAATTCCAACTACAGGTCTCTTGGAAGATAATGCACATTAAGATCACAGAGAGAGGAAAAAGGCAGCGTTAAGTCTAGCGTCAAGCAATGACGGAGGAAGTTACTCTGTTTTGGAACAAGTATGTCAGATAAGTGAGGAACACTGATGCAACATAAAATCAGATTTTAAACATCTCCTCTATTACAAGTTCTTTTCATTCCTAATCACTTCCAATGAGATAAAGCTTAGACTTCAACAGAACAAGACAGAAAAATCTAATAATGAATACACATATGGGCAAATGCATCAATCTCTGTGGTGTCTACCCCTGATTTTTGTGCTCTGGATGGATGGTGCCGGCTTCTCTCTCCCAGGGTCTTTTTTGGGCTTGGCCCTAGGCCATCTTCTCTCTCTAAGAGGTCACAGGTCACAGTCATGTCCATGACCTCAAGAACCCCATTCAGGGCTGGCTCCCTGCCTGGGTCTCTCCCCTAAGCTCCAGACTCACACATCCAACTACCTACCTGCCACCTACCCGTGGATGTGCCAAGGACAGGCCCGAGTCAACCTGTCCCAAATGAAACACGTGATCTCATCCCCACGCCCCCTGACCAACAACATACATAGCCAGGTCCTCTGCCAGCAAAGCCTGTGGCTTGTGTTTTGTCTCCAACATCCAGCAAAGTGTCTGGTACACAACAGGTGCTGAGATGTCACGTGTCAAGGCTTCTGGGATTCACCACACAAGAGTTCGTCTCACAAACCACGGCCCCCACAGCACTTTGAATTTTGCTTTGTTGTCACATGTCTGTTTTTCCCATTAAACAATGAGCTTCCTGAGGGCAGGTCTGCACCCCCAGCTTCTCATATGCTCCCTATCAGGAGTAGGTGTTCAGTGACTATTAGTAAATAAATTTCTGCCCACAGCCTTGGTCTCCGCCCAAGTTTTCTTACAAATGAAGCAACAACTTCTTTCCTTTCTTCTTTAAACTAAACTAATGCTCAAATCTTCTCCATAAAATTGGCCTCCAAAACATTTTTAGTTATGAATGATATAAATGTGTTGCATATTTCTCCTGCTGTTTTCTCTGCTGGGCTGCAGGCTTCATACAGGGGCAGGGACAATGTTCCCTCCATATGGTGTATACCAAGAACCAAAGAAACTGGTAGAAACATGCCCATCCTTAGGCTGTGCCAGTTCAGTGGCCGCCCCTCACTGCAGGGTAGTGTTTAATACCAATGCAATTTTTTAATAATTATGGTATCCACATATAATCTCATTTAAATGTACTCCTTTGTAAACTATCTTTAGAGCTAATTATTTAAAAATGTAATTATCACTAGTAATTTAAAATGAACCAAGCCACAAATCAAAGGCGGTAGAAGAGGATAGCAAATCTTTCAAAATATTTCTATTTTGGAACCAGTGATGATATATCACCAGGGCCATTATTTTTAGAGACTGGTACTCATCAAAATTCTTGAATAAAGACCGTATTTGGAAATTCCAACTATAAAAATACATGCTTCTATAAATGTTCACGTTTTTTGTGGTAGAGTTTATTTAACTAGTAGCATTGGAACTAGTTATAAAAGGAGTTGACTTTTCTCCATTTATTTGCACCAGCAAAAAGATTACAACTTGCTAAAGGATCAGATGATGTTTAGCCTTTTTCAGCAATAACATATTTTCAAATTAAGGTATGTATATAGTTCTTTTAGACATAATGCTATATATAGCACACTTAATAGACTAGGGAATCGTATAAACATAACTTTTATATGCAGTGGGAAACCAAAAACTTTGTGTGTTCGCTTTATGGCAGGGGTCTGGAACCCAGCCCACAGTATCTCTGAGATATGCCTGTGGTCACTTCAGCCCCATTGGTGGCAAATGTCTAAATGGGCCACTGGGAGGGAGCTATGAAGGGACAAGCTGTGATGTCCCTTTGCTCTTTAGAAGGAAACTTCCGTTCTGAGATGCTGCCAAAGTAAAACTTTTTTTTGAAAGATCCCCTGTTAGGTTTCAGAATGCTAGTTTTCAAGTATGTTTCAAGGCCAGATTTGACTATTTTGCAGCTAAGGAAACAGTCACTGAAATAAGACAGTTGTAAAAAACAGAACTGTTCAATTGATTAACAGAATATTTTCTGATTCAAAAAAAAGATGAAATGTAATTTTACAATTGACTATAACAATCATTTCTAAAAACAGACATTTTAAGACTAATTCTGATACATATGGGAAAGAAATCCCAACCAAAATATGTAAAATAAAAATCTGTATCTTTGGGCTAAATGTAATTTTCAAGTCATTTCACCTCTTCACTGCAGAATAACTGCTTATAAAGTAACCCCCATAAAGATGACAGACTACTATTCTACATTTAAAGACTTTTAAAGAGAAAGAGATATTCTGCCTCAGGAACTGAATCTACTGTTAAATAATTCCCATTACTATAACATTCTTCCCCAAATCTTTCAGGCTCCATTTTTATGTTTATTCACCCCTTTAAGACGCCCACACACGATTCCTGGGGGTGGCGGGTGGAAGAGTCTGACAACAGGGCTAACTGAAAAACACACTTAACTAGGGTATCTCCAGAAGGACACACAAGTGACTGGAAACACCACCTACCTCTGGGGATCAGAGGCTTGGGGATATTGGAGGAAACGGAATTTTTCATCATATACCTCTTTGAACATTTAGAATTTTATACACTGTGA